TCATTTAAGGCTTGAAGTGGTGTCAGGTATCTGCCGGTATTTCATCCCTGTCCCACACCCCTAATACAGAAAGCAGCAGCAGCAGCCATTAGATATGAGCAGTGAAGCAATTCAGACTAAGCACTTTCCAATAACACAAAATGAGGCAATTTACCAGGAAGAGAGGGAGTTGCATTAGCATGAAAAAAAAAAAAAAAACTAAGTTATTCTCAAGATGCTGAAAGAGAGGAAGACTCATCAATTCTGAGCACTGAAACTGTGAGGATCCATAAGGATTTTACATGATACCAGTGAACCCGAGCCAAGGAACCACTGCTGGAGCTGAGCTGCACAGGGAGCAGCATAGCACGGTTGCCTTCCTCTGCTCAGTACAGAAGATCTCAGTTTTACGGACAGTCTGGTCTCATGTGTTTTCCATGGGCACTGTGATAGACAAGTGGCACTGTGATAGACAAGTCACTGGGAGCAAGCCAGGAGTTCCAACAGGAGGTCTGCTTGTGAGCATGAGGGAAGCTCAGGGCTAAGGATGCAGCTGTCCAGTCAGTGACACGGGCACAACCATGCGCTTCCCAGGACCCAGTGGCCTGACTGTAGGAGAAGGCAGGTCCAGATCCTTGAAAAGTCACAGAAATGTCTTTATTTGTTTGGTACCTTCAGGTGATGGGAACTTTTGGGATGACATTTATAAATTCCTTAAGATAACTCTTGCCTTCAAGCAGCCAGAAGAAAAACAGAAGAGTTTGCAGTCATATTAGTAGTGTCTGAAAATCAGAAGTGTCAAATAAACTTCAGAAGATTAAAAATGAAATAGTATTTTCCTCTCTTGCTCAGTTATTTTCTACTCTTATCAGAAACAGTATCTCCACTCCTGAACACGGGCACAGCCCAGGGCTCCCTGGCTCCCCTCCTGGCCCCAGGGCTGCAGAGCCCCTGGCCTGAGCCTGGCCCATGGCAACAGGGAGTGCAGCTCAGGACGGTGTACGTGTTAGTTGGATGTTTGAAGGGAAAATAGAACCTGATACCTCTGTTCCCACAGGATGCCACCACAGAGACTATTTGCTGTAAAACGAAACCTGTGGGGTGGTGTTCTACACCACAGCATCATGTGAAAGGCAACAGGCAGCCCAGCGATACTCCTACACCGACAGATCCCGCATCTTCTGACAGCTTCACATTTCTCTATCTGGCAAGCACAAAATTGTGGTCTATGTACGAAGCTGCCTTTTTATTTAGAGAACAATTAAACTAATCCCAGCAGGATTTCATGTTTAACGAGGTTTGTAGCAAACACATCTGTAGCCTGCATTCAATCAAGCTCTTTTGACTTTCACAAAATAGGGGAAAAACAGTGGAGTTGAAATATAAAAATCTATGCTGCCTGGGATACGGGCAAGACCCGAGTGAGTAGAACTGCTGATCTATTTGCTGAAATTTCAGTCTTTTATCAAATAGATGTCTGTTAATTCTGTTAATCTTCCAATTTAAGCAATAAGCAGTTTTTTGAATACCTGCCTTTTCCATCGGAGTGATTTGGTATACACTGCAGCTCTTGATAAACACACACATATGCATATGTATGCACACATGCACAACACACAATAAAATGGAGTTGATGTTGGCATGGGGGCAGTGTTTGCTGCACTCATTACAAGATGCAGGCTCATGGCCCTCAAAGTCTCACCTCTTCAGAAATGCGGTGCAAGTCTGTGCGCTTCTTGATTTGCTTTGAGTGGGTTGGATCCAGCTGTGGCCAATGATGATCTGAATTCGATGAAGTCACAAGAAGATAATAATTCAGTTTCGTTTCTGTTTTTTGACATAACAATGGTTCAAATCAATCTTTGGTTTTGGTTCTACTTCCTGCTTAACAGCTGTGTAAAGGAAAACATCTGGAGTAACGCTCCAGTAGGGCCAATAACTGAGGCTGCTCTTTCATACTATCCAGATAGCACTGGTAATAACAAAATGTTCAAGCCAGTCTTCAATAACAAGAAAAACAAACAAAAAAGCACAAAAAATGTTGCACTTTAGTCCTCATAGCAGCCAGGGCTGCAAATGGAACTTCATCTGTACCACCAGAGCTGTGGCTCTGAAGGAGCCTGGCCCAACACAGCCCTCACAAATGCAGCCAAGCTTTCTCCCCAGCCCAGCCCACAGCCTCGCCATCCCCAGCATGCCTGGGCTGCACTCAACATTGAAGCCCTGCAGAAGCCCCCAGCCCTCTGACTCTCTGCGAGGTGCTGGGTTCCACCTGCCTGCCCCATTGCACCAACACAGCCTCTGGAGCCATCTTGGCGAAGGGCTGCACCCACTGCATCATTTTGAAGCTTCTTGCTGGCCCCCACGAATTGGTTGTCACTGTTTTAGTGAGTTCACTGAACCAGGGCCTGCCTTTTGTTCCCATGTTCATACAGCGCCTAACACAGGCCAGTCTTCATTTGGGAGCAGGCCTCTGGAAGCTGCATCACACTAGGCTTAATGGGAAAGCATCACCCATACACGGTATGCAAAGCTCTCAGGAAGAGTGAAGGGCTCTGTGGAGTGGTCTCAACCCACGCTTCCCATCTGTGTGATTTCCACGCCATTAAAGTGGAAGTTTTTGATCATGAAACATGGCGACTATTCCCAGCACCAGCTGCAATTCAGGAAGCCATCATTTCTTAAGAACAGGCAACCAACGCATGACTAGGAGAGGGTGGGGGATTGTGAAACATCACACACACAACAAACACAACTGCTCCAAGCTGCCATTCTCTTCAACGTGGACTCCTATACCAGAACTGTCTGCATAAATGTAAAATTGCTTGTGGTGTGTTTCATCCCACACTGCTCTTATGAATCCAGAGCTGTTGTGTCTCCATGGGACAAAAGACTGCTCACGTGCTCTCCACCTGAATCAAGCTCTTCACCACTTTGGTTCAGAAACACACCGCCGCCAGTGTCATCCACTGGGAGATAAGTACAAAGTAAAAAAATGTCCCTTGACAAAAATGTCCAACTGCTGGTGCCTCACTGTTTCCAAGGAGGAATTAATTACTGAGATTATTCAACTGAGTCTGTACAAGGCCATGAGGAAAAACAGAATGCCATTGCTACAGTTAAGCACAGTTTGGTGAGTTTCTGTTAAAGCTGTGCTCTTTGTACTCTTCCTGTAAAAGTTAACAAAATGAGAAGAAAACAGCAAGTGCTTCATCGACCAATAGCACTCCTTCTGGGTACTACACTTCAACTCCTCCAAACTAATTTTGGCTTTGCTTACCAGTAAAGATCTACTGGCACTTGTTTATATTTACCAAAGAGGGAATAGAAACCACAGAGCATTAGCAGCCTGCTTGCTAAACTCCTCCAGTCCAGTGACTGACAAAAACAGAGATGGTTCCCAGCACAGTGCCCTCATCTGTAACATTCCCAGACCCTCTCTCTACCATACCACAGACCTGCTGCCTTTAAAACATGCAGTGGATCCCTCAAACTCTGCTTCCCGAAGTCTGAATCTGATCCTATCAGACACTCGTGACATCTTTGTTAAACCACAAATCTAAGTTCACTGGAGGAAAATTGTAGCAGGCCTTCTGTTTCTTTAACGCAGTCAACTCCTGAACATCAGTACAACTCCTAAAAGAATAGTTATAAAAGAAATTATAGCTTAATTTTATTTCTTATCAAGAAGTTTTCAAATATTTTTATGCTGTTGAAACCCTCTTGAGAACTCTGAAGATATTTACTCTTGTATTGAAATGTGTAGCTGGCAGCTTTGTGCCAACAAATCTTTAAGTGTTTGTTTAAACAGACATATGTGTCCCACTAATACAGATGCCAAACAAAGTGCTGATATTCATGGTTCACCCTCTTTGTTAAAGTGTTGGATGTCAGCTACACCAAATGGTACAGTATTTTATTATCAAGACGCAAACTCATTCCATGCAGTCTTCCAAATATCCAACTTGTATTTCAGACAAAGACACCAAGAGGGAAAAAGCACCCAGCTGCCTAGAGTTCCAAATGCTTTCATTTGTACTGTCATTTAAAATAAGACAAAATTTAAACCAGACTTTAACTGTTTCCAAATGTTTTTGTGTATGCTTCTGCTGAAACCTTCAGCCGTTAGCGTGTGCTAGAACTCTCAAACAACCAATGCATGCTGTGCTCCTTTAACTTTGCTTTCAGACATTTTTCTGTTGAATGCTTGTTGTCACACATTGATCACGGTAATACATGATAAATACTTAATGACTTTGAGAGCATCTTGGGTAAATTGCCAGTACAAGTTATTCTACACACTGATATACAGAATACTCTTACTCCTGTGGGGGATGATTGTAGAAACCACAGTAGCAAAAATGCACTCAGATTATAGTTTTAATTGTAAATCTCTGAAGAAACGATACATCCTTCAAATCAATGCATAAAAAATCAATACTAGCTTTACTGAGGAAAGAATTCTGCATGCACAGGAGAAACCTGAACTTAAATACATGTGGGAAATGCAGAATACTGTACTGAAACAAAACAGAAGGGGCTAAAAGTGTTCTCTCTAATCCTAGCATGTGTTGGGCTTTTATTCCCGGAAAAGATGTAAGGCAGTACAAAAAGCAACTTAGTTAAAGTATTACCTTCCATAAGTGGTAGGAACGAGCACAGCCTCCCCCATGACCTGTGAGCACAGCAGGAGCGCACGCGGCCGACAGCTCGGCCGTCACTCCACGCACTTTGCAAGCACAGCAGTGTCTGCCTGACCTCCTGCTTGGCGCCCGCTTTGGAGAGCAAACAGGTTAGTGGGGCATGTGCAGGAAAGGATCTTGCAGGAGAATTCACCAACAGAAATGAAAAATTAAGCATTTCAGTCTTTGATCTAGGTTGCTTCATACTCCCATTTAAAGATAATTGGGGGGTGACAGTCAGTAATAGAAATCTTAGGCAGTTTTTCTTTTACAGTCAGCACATTTTTAAGTCCCTACGCTTTATGGTGCAAATTACAATGGAGAAGAAAACACCTGCTGTGATATATCAATAATTTATTGTTTTGCATAAAGAAGGTAAGAGTGCAGGTAAGACATCAACCAATGACCTGATGGCAAATTCAAGTACAGAGCTTGGTACAATATGAAAAAATACTACCCCTTTTTTTTTGACTATGGCAAACAGCTAGAACACAACAAAAACATCTGTCAAAACACACAGTTCCTAAAAGCCCACACAGCACAACTTGAATATCTGGAATATTGAAACCACCTTGAGTCGTCTTCGTTCCCAAATGTTCAGAGTCAGAAGAAGCACACAGCCCTCCCCACGGAACCTCAGAACAATTTGGCACGTGAGTTCAGAGCAGGTTCCGTGCTGTCAGAACTGGTGGGCTGAGACATCTTTCTGCCTTGAACTTACATCATCCCTGCCTGCCTTGCAGAGCCCAGAGGCTTCTATTTTCTTTTTTTTATTTTTGGAAGCAACCACTGCAATAACATTGATTTTCAAGAGCAATCTAGTGATTTAGCTAACACCACCTCTCACTGTGTGCACGTTTTGCTCTGCAGGATTTATGTTTTTGTGATTCCCTTCCCTTGCAGGTGTTACAACTCAGGACTCGGCTCCCAGCCCACAGACAGGGCAGGCAGCCATCCGCCTCTCTGCCTCCAAAGCGCCTGCAGGGCTGCACCAGGGACCAGCAGCAGCGTCTTCATGAAGGCAGCAGAGCACAGCGCTGCCCATGGCTGCCCAGCACAGCGTGGTGCAGAATGTCCTCTGAGACTGCACCGACCCAGGAATGGGAACTGCAGTCTTTTTCAAAAGGACAAGACAGACAGCATGCAGGACTGCTCTGGACAGAGACTTTGCAGAATATTCCAGCACCACTTTCTCAAAGAGAAAAGCAGGTCCCTTATGGGAGTGCTATTCCACACTGAAGTTCTGATACACTGCAGGTCAGAAGCAGCACTGAGTTGCTCATTAAGGCGGGAAGTGGCCAGATATCAAGGGATGCAGAGCCCCCTCTCCAAGCTGTTGGTTGGAAGAAGTGGTGAGGGCGCTCGGTTCTTTGCAGGCAAAGGCAAGCAGGCACCCAATTCCAGATCCCCAGAAAAACAGTGTGATTTTCAGTAATTAAAAATAATAGAAAACATCTTCTCAACCCACATAACCCGCATGCAATTAACTTAATCAACAAATCTCAATTTATGTTACAAAAAATTTTCCTCCTGAAAAATGGTGAAGTTTGACAAAAGTTACATTACAGTGCTTCAAACAGAACGTTTACCATACTGAGATTCTGTACGTCTGTGACTCCCACATAAACATTTCCAGACTCGGAGGGATTTTGCTGCTGTTGCTTGCATTTCATTTGTTTTACACAACTCTACGCTACGTGCAGTGACCCACAAATTAAATACGCATTTAGAATTAAACTGCGGAATCTGATGGCTTTATCAGCACATGAACTGAAATAAAAAGTTTACATGGAATGTTGAGCTCAATTTACAGAGACAGTGTTTTGAATTACAGTCTTCATAATCTGTTTAATAAATGAACACATTGACAAGAAATTTAAAAACTTCACATCCCTTTTCAACCCTCCATAAATATATAAAGTTTCACTAAATTCTTTTTCCCTGAAACAAGACATCTATATTCTCTTTACAGATTAACATGAAATAACTGCTTCCTGTTTGAATGCCACAGATGTGATGACCTGAATTTACAAGCTCCTATACGTTCTTTACTTACAGACACATTCACAACACAACACACAGGTGTTCCTTGGTCTTTACAGATGTACTCATTTCCTGCATATCAGCAGTAAAGAAAGAAAAATACCGAATTATCTATATTAAAATACATCATCTATGATACATATGCTTACACTGCCACATCAAATTCAAGATGAGGTTTCCATCTGTATCGGACCACTGATGGAGATTTTTTTGTAATGAGGACTACAGCACTAATTTGTTTCTGGATGGAGATAAGACGTCTGTTACGCTATCAAAACAAGTACCGCTACATAGCAAACAATGGAAAGAACTGACTTATTGCAGCTGCTTCCAGGTCTCCACAGCATCCTCACCAATTGTTTGAAAAATTCTGAAGGGAAAGCTGTTCCAAGGTTTGCTAAAAGTTCTTGATATCAATTTAAAGGAAAAAAAAAAGTACTCTTTACTTGGTTGCTATTCATACTGCTTAGTCACCTATTTTACAGAAGATTAATCCTAAAGACTTTGAAGTTATATACATAGTAACCCTATTTAAATAAATATTCCCGTGAGTTCTATTCGTTGTGCCACAAAGCATGCATGAAAATACCTTCAATCTGTGCATGCTCACAGCAGGGATTTTCACAACTGAGCCACTGAATACATCTTTCTTTTCATGACTACGTAAGTGCAAAGGAATACTGCAATCATTCTGTACATGTAAGACAAGACTCACGTCTATAAAAGTAAAAACACTTATCTTGCTGCGCATAGGAAGTCCTCCCCATAAAAATGTTGGTCACTTTTGCCTATTTCAGTTCTCTCGAGCACTTAAGGGATAATAACTTCCAAGTGCTGATGTGCTTTTTATGAGAGCAGTTAGACTTACAACCACCAAAGTGCTGATCTCCAGTATTAATTACTATCTTCTGCAGACTCTCCATTAAAAAAGCTTACTTTGTAAATGGACATACGAGTGAGAGAGAGACATTTGGCAGTTTTGTTACACGAGTATTTGCTTGCTTTACTGATCTTAGTAAGACTTCGGTTCCACATGACTGTCCCAAAATTGTGAACAGGAGGATGAAGACACAGGAAAACAAGACCAGTGCCAAGTATGTGAAGAGTGCACTTGCTGCTCAGGTAGAGTTAGAAAGCCCTTCTCCCAAGAAAATGCCCCTTAAGTATTGCCTAACCACGCACACGTCTGGATCGGGATGCATTGGCTGCCTTGTGAACACGAAACGCTATGAGTGCAACCAGCTGATGGGAACCCAGAAGGTCTCAGTCTCCAGTCTGTCAAAGGTTGCCTTAAGCTCACTGTAGGCTGTTGCGAGGTCATCATTGATGATCACCTTATCGAAGAGGTGGCCGTACTGGCTCTCCATCACCTGGGCAGACTTAATCATCTCTTGAAAATCTTCTTCCTAATGAGATCAGTGCAGGGAACAGTCAGTCCACAGAAACAAGTCACCTAACTCTGTGGTGAATGCGGTGAAAACTACTTGCTTATGGAAGTGGAAACGGGGCTTTTTATTTAAAAAAAAAAAATACAGAAACTACCCTTCCTGATAATCTCAGGGAACACTCTTACAAGCAGAGTTTGCCCAATGGAGACGGACAATTCTTTTATCTTTCCTCTTGCAATAACACACTTGTCACTGCATGGCAATTTCAGAGCCATCTTCTGTTAGCAGCACTAGTGGAAAACATTTCTAGCTGTTTATTTCGATGATGCTTTTAAAGTTTCATTACTTAAGTCTCAGCTTGCTATTAGCACATGATATATTACAAGGCAGCCTTTTTCTTTTAAAAGCTTGGCAGGAGCTGTCTTCCTGTGCCTTGTTAGTCTTGTTTGGGCCTGGTTGGGTGCATTTCTATTCACGTTTGGGGAGGGAACAAATCTTTGGAATTTAATTGATGACACAACTATGAGTAAAACGTTCCTAACTAAACAATGTCCTGAAGATTGCTCTTAAGAATGAACCCCTCTTACATTTTATATATGACAGAAAGTATTGTTATAATACATTATTTCCAAACTATGTCAAAAACATATCCTACAAAGACACAGTCACAAAAATAAAGAGGCAATATGTATCTAGATTTGCTCTAAGTCATCCATCCCCATGACTCTGTTCATGACTCAGCTTAAAAACACAATCTAGCAAATCCTAAATAACAGCTTGTATCTGAGTACAGGAAAATCATACATACAGTACATGTAGATAACAAAGTGTAACCATGGTTGGCTTTCATTTAGCTTTAATTAAAATATTTTTTCATTGTACTTCCAGGAAGTAAATAAGCTACTAATGGGTAATGACTAATATTTTTTCCCTGATTATCGACAAGATGCAGCACTTGTGCCTTTTGCTTCCTTAGATATTTCACATTCTTTCTTAGAATATTCATTTCCCTGTAACATTTTTTAGTTGTGTATCTTATCCACAAATACGGTCTTTTTATTAAGGCAGCATTTACTGTCTCAACTGACGCTTGATGTTTCAGGTTTCCTCTAAATATAAGATTCAAAATTAGAAATAATACAAGGAAATTCATATGCATAAACAGAAACATCTAAATGCAAATGTTTTTTTTAAAGGAAATCCTCAGCATTCTTCAATTGCATAAACTCATGCTGAGGACCATGGACATGTGAATATCTACAAGCACAGCAAAGAATGAGAACATCACAGCAAGTTTAGGGTGACAGAAATTGGGAAACAATGTGTAGGTTGTCTAAGCCCTGACAAGTACTATGAATATAGACCCAGCAATAATCTTTATTTCCAAGGTAAAACAATACAAACTCTTAAATATACTTACTGTAAAGGGCTTTGCAGTTCCCCTATCATCTTTACTTGAAATAATCTTGGCATTTTTTCTAGTCTCTCTCAAGCGGTCAAGTGGTGGAGGCTTTATAAATATAACAAAGGGCTTAAACTCGTATGTCCGTAAGTGTTTCACTGTCTGATAAGAGGAAAAATTTTCATTAGCTTATTTTTCACAATGCAATTTACCACAGTAAAAGAAACCCTCTGCTAACCAGACTGAACCCACAAAGCACTTCTAGAAGTCTGTCTTTCAGTTACTGCCAACCCATTGTGTTGATCAGCACTGATTCCTACAAGGAGAGTTTCCATGTGAAGGGTAAGATAACTCTTTGTTTCCACTAACGTAAAGTAGTGCCCAAAGTCAGGAGGAGGATGGAAGGCAGGGCAGGGAGTTCTGCAGGAGTGGAAAAGTTCTACACATTTTAGCAGTAACATCTGAAAAGTAGTGTGTGCAAGAGCCTGTGCCACAATCACAGGAGGTCAGCTGTTTCTTCTCTTCAGTGCTGTGTACTCACTAAACAACTCCCTGTTGTTACTGTTCCTGAGAGAGTGAAGTGATCCTACCAATGAAATTAGAGGTCTACAACTCTGATTGCAGCACAGTGTGGAGCAGGGATGGCCAGCCAGCTTTCGGTCATCTTTGCATTGCCAGGGCCCACAAGAAAACAACGTGACAGAGAACATGACCCCAGAAGGGCTCACAAGACCAGGTCCTCTGGAGAATTTAGTGGTTCACTGAAAAACTGGGCTGCACTGGACACACAGTGCTCTCACTGAGCCCCAGAAGCCCCAGCCCAGCTCTCCTGGTGTGAGCTTGGCTTCCCCAGCTGCTCCTGTGCTGGCACAGCCCACTTGCTGCTGCTTTAAGCAAAGCCCTACATCCAAAAATGCACCGGGAACTGCTCACAAACTGCTGGGGTTCAGAAGCCACAGGCTGGCCACCCTTGGAGAAGAAATACTTTAGCTCCGTATAAACAAACTGGTCCAGCTCTTGGAAGCACTGCAGTTATTGGGAGAATAAAAATTCCCAGAGGAGCTGTTGAGTTGGGTTGAAAGACACAGTCAGGGCAATAACAAATGGCTTAGACAGGAACAACTATCTAACAATTATCTGCCCAACAATACACCAAGCATGTTCCTTAACTTGTGTCTGCCTTACGTGGAAACTCTTTGCATGAACAGACCCACTAAACGTAGGACAGTAGCTGGGCTGCGTGGCAGCTTAAAGCCATTTCTGAAATTTAAGTTTCAGAGAGAACCTCTTAACACAAAACAGCAAAAAGATGAATGAAAATTTGGAAGCATTTTATAATGTCTTTGGTATTATGCTGTGGGCTTTCAACACAGTAATTCCTGAGCAGAATACTAGCAATATGTATTGGAGTTTCCTTCTTCTCCTTTCAGCAAGTCTTGATGTGATAAAGTCACCTATCAAGCCCGCTTGATAGTAATTCAGGATGGAATAAAATATATTTTTTAGAACAGTTAAGTTTCTGGAATCCTACGGAACACGGAGAACTACAGGATTCCAAAAGATATGCTTACTTACATGAGGCTGCACATCCAACAGACAGACTTTGTTTTTAGCGAGGACTGACCGAACAGAGTCTAAGCTTGTGCCATAGTAGTTGTTCTTATACTCGCCGTACTCGATAAACCTATGGCAGAGGGTGAAAACATTAGAATCGTTTCCATTTTCTCCAGCAAAAACTTATCGTTTTGGTTTATAAGATCTGATTCAGGAGCAAATATATGTTACTTTACATGCGAGTTTTACCATGTTTTATAAAGGAAATGCTGTCAAGTACTTCAACATGTCAATTTTAAGAAATCTTCTATTTTACCACGTTCAAATCAGTAACACCTGCTTGTATTACAGTTAAAGAGAAAAAAGCACTGTAGTCCAACAGCCCACTAATGTTTTCCATCACCTCTTTTTCTGAACTAATGCAATGCAATAAAACAGTGGATAAGCTAAACAATAGAAACTACTGAAATTTCATTGCACACTGCAGAATATCCAAATTCCATCTCGAAGAGGAGGAGGAGCTACGGCAGTGCTAATGGAACCAAGGCGGCTGCTTATGCGCTATAAAAGCACAAGTACAATTTGCCAAAAAAGCAAAGCACAGTTTGAAGTTTCCATAAAACCCACAGCTTTGTGTCTAATACACTTTTGCCCCCTGAAACACTGGGACAGAATTTCAAGCTGCAATATTTTACAGGCTGCTAGAGAGCACGATGCTACCATTGTCTTCATTTTAGTTTAATTTCTGGAGTGTTTACAGACAGGGGCTTCTCTGTAGGTCTCTACGTTCAAAAGCACAGGAAGCGCCTGTCCTGAAAGAGTGCAGAACTACGCAAACATTGATTCAAGCACGTTTGCAGCCCTTTCAAGCACACTTCCAGGCCCCCATCTCCCAGTGCTGCAAGGCTTCACTGCCATCAAGGATAATGCCCCATGAAAGAGAGCTCCCCCACCTCAGCACCTACAATTTCAGGGTCTTATTGATGAGCTGAAGTGCTGAAACTACTTGGAAGCACAGAAGCTTCTGTCTGTATATTCTGCTGTTTTTTTTTTTTTGTTTCTTCAGCTTCTTTGAACTGCTTATGTATCAAAATGTAAATCCAACATCTTCAAATCACTACGGCTTACATCCACTTTGAATTACTATCTAAAATTACAACCAGCCCCATTTTATAACGCAGCCATTGTTTTAACTGTGGTTCTAGTTAAAGCCTCTTCAACATACTTGTTATTCTGTACGTCTGTCTCAAACAAGTGCTTGGAAATGAAAATGTATTCAACACCATCGCTTTCTTGGCTTCTTCTTGCTCGGGTGGTGTCTGCAGTTTCATTAAAAGAAAAAGAAAAAAAAAAAGAAAGGATGCACAAAACAATATAATGCAAACCAGTTCAGGAAACATTCAGAAGCCCACAGCCCTTGTGCAATACTCAGCACAGCGGTTCCTCGCTCCTGAGTGACATGAGGCGGCACTCAGCACGTGATGGGATTGAGTTTAAAAGCACACACAGGGAAAAAAACTACTGGACAAGTGTCAGATTATCATTTTTATTAAGTGGTGGAAAAATCCAATAAAATGAGGACAGCTGAATAGTAAAATGAGCAGCAGTTAATAACAATTACCCCAACTTCACCACTCGTTAAACTTATTAGCATACAAGACCATAAAGGGAAACAAAGTTCACCAACCTGATTTATAAAATGTTACATTCATTAGCAACAACTGCAGCTATGGTATGTGGAGTATGACAGTAAAGAAACGGGGCGTGAATTTTATGATTTAGTTCTCTCCATTTCCTGGTGATTCCTTTTTCTTCCAGCGGTCTTGCTTTATCTTTACTTGCCTTCAAGCTCTAGGCATAAAGGTTCTGCTTACAAACTTGTGGGACTGCCACTTACGGGTAATGAGCACACTTAAAAATCATATTTAATACAAGATGCATATTACAGCATCACATATTCTTCATTGTAAGTGAACACACACAACCTGCTTGCAGAAGCACAGCCTGGAATGCCATTTGATGGCTCGCTTTTCTTAGGTTGACACAAAGAGAAATATTTCCAAGAATGCCATTTCTCCACGCAAGTCCTGACTTATTGAATTTCAGGGAGAAGGATTTCTTTACTTGTTTGTTTTAAATTATAACCACAAATTTGGAAGAGAAAAAAGAAAAGGCAGCTTGATGAATCCTGGCAAATTTTAGAGAAATGCTTCTGGGCAAATGACTGCATATGCAGTGTGTTAAATATTTGGGAACATCTGGCTTTTTTGTTGCAGTTTTCAATACCCAGCTGAGGAAAATATTTGCAAATGAAATGACTTGCTGAAAACAAATGCATTCATTTTTCTACCTAGAAAATTCATTCATATGTATTTTTACAGAATACCTGTACTTGCAAAGAAAAACATGAATTCCTGAATTCAGTGCTGGACCCTTAATTTGAAGGATCCGGATAGGAGGCAAAATTACAAGTACAAACAGACAAAGAAATGGCAGAGCAGCTAACACTATCAAGCCCTCCACATGAAAGAAAACCCAATAAAGTATTGTAGAATTTAGTTCAGAACAATGTTATTCATCATCGTTCAAATTACACGACACGGTCAGACAGGGGAAAGAGGGGAGAAAAATCCCCAAATAACTTTTCTAAAGCTAATCAAAGGATTAAAATCATTTATTCATCGAGGTTCAAAACTGTTTATCATCCATCTTTATTTTTCAGCCTTAATGTAAAAGGGCATTTTGCTGAAAGCAAGCATTGCTAACAGAGTACTTTTCACTGCTTTGCAGCTAAATCCAGCGTGTTCTTTAGCTGAGTTTCATTTACCAAACACCGCTGACATCAATCATGCTAAACCTGTAGTAAAAATCTACTGCAGTGCCTCTGAGCCAAAACATCCTATCAATTTAATCAATGCTACTTAAAATACTACTGCAGCAGCACTTTCAAAAATTAGAAGAGTAATCTGGATGCCAAGCATGCATTTAGAGACTCAAATTTAAAAGTGCCTTCAGTTAATGCAATAATAAAGGGAACCAAGTGTAGCATCAAGAGAGCAGAAGAGTGTTTCTACTTACGTGGCACTGTTACGCCGTAATGCTGGGTGTCACTGATCAGCAATTTTCGTTTGAGCTCATTCAGTCCAACCCCCACTGGTCCTAAAAAAAAGAAACAGTGCTGTTTCCCAGCAGCCAGGCCTCTCATCTTCAGGCACAAGTGCTCTCTGAGGTAAGTCCAAAAGGCACACAGCTGTAACACAAACTATCTTCTAACCATTTAGAAATGTCTATGGTTATAGCCTCTCCTAAGATATACAGTGCTGACAAACATGAGGGGACAGACAGTAGTTTGTCTGGTCTGACTCTACCACTGAGGAAAAAAGACACGGAAAAAGTTCAATCATAGAATCGTTTGAGCTGAAAGGGACCCTTCCAGGTCATCTAATCTAAGGCAAAGCAATTTCTCCACTACCCTCAACACATCATATCCCCATCCTTGGCCCTACACAGACGTGGCACCTTAACCTTAATCAAAATTGGCATGATTATTTATTTTGCCAGAATATCTCAAACTTCTGGAGCAGAGCCTCCCAGCCAGCAGGTGAAGGCCATTCTTCTCCATCTTTTCGAGGGGTCAGGTCAGGAATGAGTGGGAAGAAGAAGGAAGGGCAGCTCCTCTCCATGCACTTGGTGCTCTTGGTCACAACCCCTTTGGGGTGCTTCTGTTTCCTTCTTTGTTGTTGGTTTTCTTTAAACTCTGCTTGTACGCTGCCTGCTGTCTGAACTGCTCCAAAATAAATGTTTCTTTCTTCATGCAGCTGCCAAGGGAGACCACTCTTGGAAGGAGGTTGGCGGGAAGAAACAAAGACTGCATGGTTGTTTTCTGACACATCCCGTCCACCTCCACTTGACTATTGCCGTGCTAGAAATTACTAAGGAAGCATTTTCATTTTTCATGTGCCCCCCACTCTTAGCCATTTGATAATGGTTCTTAAACCACTTCCTACCCACAGGTACCCTATTTCATGCTGATATGTGCATGAAGAAGCCCAGCTGAGGGTTCATGGGTTTCTGATGGAGTACTGGCTTTGTTTCCACCGAGTCAGGTCAAGAGCAAAATGTAGAAGAGGATCATTTAATCATATCCCAAATGATACAAGAATAATGCACATTATGGAAAATTCTTACTATTGTATGAAAACTGATGCAACCATGCATTCAGTTCTTTCTAATAAAAGCATTTTAGAGATTAGAAATACAAAATGTAATAAGCATGTTAATGAAATAGTGATATAGCGGTTAATTACTAATGAGAGTCTGGCATCAAAAAGCAACGACTGATGCTTCAGCACCTTCATCTGTACCCACCCTGTGTGGTTAGAAACACGCGACGATGAAAAGCAAGCGTCTCCTACTACCCCCAGACTATGGTTGCTCTGTAAAGTCCTAGAGTTTCTGCATTTATAATTTTATATGTTTACATAAGTTAAACACACAACTACATTTCAAGTTCCATCTCTGACCTGCCAGTAAATTAATCTATCAGTAAGTATAAATGTTTATTTAATATGGTGTACAGCAGCCTCTACTGGTGCATGTCTGCAGAGAAAAGCAATGTGTCATGCAGATAATGACATTACTTTTGTGCTTTCTATTTTTTTCCTCTTTTAATGGCACAGTTATTTAAACAAATACCTTTTTTCTTTCCAGAAAAGTAGTTAAAGTAGTTAAAATTCTCAATAGATTCTATTAACATTGAATGAAACAAGTGGAATTCAAGTAAAAAGAATCATTAAATTCCTTTCAAGCAAAATTTTTTTCACATCATATCTACGCAAATATTATCTCCTTAGACTATACACTGTCAAATCAACATGCTTTCAGCTCTATTTATATATAAATAGTCCAGGCTTTAGTTACTGTGGTGGATGCTTTAGAAACTTAGATCAGATCTGTTTTAAGATCTAAACCTCATTACTATGCTGTCTCCCCTTCCAGATTACCATTTTAAACTCATCTTTAAATTTAACTACTGGAAGGTGTAGATTCCTCTTTTTCAGCACAGATCTCTCTTAACTGCAGCATATGGATACTGAGGACTGATTCCTGGTAGTAATGCCATCCATTGTGCTTCTTTTTGCACTACATCTCCTCAGTGTAAAGAATACTTCTATTCTGGTCCTTATTTTCATGTTGATGCTACAAAGATGCTAGTTTTTAATAATTAGAATCTGAATCTGATTTGACCTAAGGATGAGCATAAAACACTAGGATTGAGAAGGACAATCCAGATTCTCATTGCAGAATGCTAAGCAAGTGGGATACATAGCTGTAGCATTATTTTAGTTTACTATAACTCACCCCTGGCAGCAATATTAAGTGGTTCAGTGACAGATTTAGTAATACTTTGCTTATTTTTCTAAAGCAACATTTATTTTACTTGCTGTTCCATATTTAGTCACATCAACCAAGTAACTGTAGTATCCTGCGCAAACAAACTGCAACACCTAATTCTTCTTACTGACAGTCACCTGCAGAAGTAGACCACCAATCACTACAATGTCCATGAAGCTTTGTACTATTCAGATATGCCTCAAGAAAGCTGGAAAAACTGTTTAGTAGAATAAGTTCAGGTCTCAGGATGATTAACCTCATCAGTTATTCTTTAGCAGCAGGCACAAAGGGATCTCCTAGAAGCTGGTTCATTTGAAAGTGGTCTTTCAGAAAAGACTCTGGGAGTCAGGTGCCCTCTGCTGAGACCACAGAGACCCTGTAGAAAATGTGCATTGAGGTTCTACGGCTCAACTATTCCTTCTCTAGTAAAATGGATCAGCGTAATGCAGTGACTGCATACGTATGTCCAACCATGACACAACGACATATGAAGCAGGAAAACAGAATCTCATTTTTCTGTTTTTCAGTAAACTGTAACTAGCAGTGGGAAGGTACTTCTAGACTGACTGCGCACTGAAGCAGGATTGGGACTTGACACTGGTTTTCTAACTGGCAAGGCTAGCCAATGTAGATTTCTGAGTGTTCAGCCAGAAAGGTTTAATGAAGATATCAATTCTAAGTCTTCTTCTTTGTTGTCCAAGTGGTTCACATGGTATAGCATGGTCATATAGTTTGGCCTTCATCTTTACTGAAGCAGAAGCATTTGCGAGAAGGACTTTTTTCCTTGTTCATGTAAATGAGAATTCTATTGCCTAAACAGTATGTTTCATATCAAAACATTCTGCCTCAGCTTGGTAAGGCCGCAAAGTATCACAGTTTGGATGCAGACAATATTTTGAAGACCTTAAGGATTTTCTGTGGCCTAGGAATGGTAAGTTATCAGAAGAACAGTGGTCACATGGTACTGGATCATTTCACTTTTAGCAGACTCATCACATTCATAATACCTGAGAGACAGCACAGCAGAAGTATCTGTAATATTATCACTCCAGATTATCCATTATTTTAGCCCCAAGGATATACAGGGCTTTTTTCATAAGCATACATTTGCAGAGGGGGTGAAAGCTTGACAAACTAATACATCTAGCTGTGGCTGAGACTAATACTCTATCACATTACAGGGCACTAAAAATTACTGTGTGTGCAATTTGCATTCTGTAAATTAGAGCAGATCAATTTAAAATGAGGCCGAAAGAAATTTCTCCTTTGCAGCTGTCAAACTCTCTCTGACAAAAAGGACATAACAAAAACCCCAAAGCCTTCCAACAGTAAATTATTCATTAGGCAGTAGCATAACACAGTAGATATTCAGTGTCCTCACCAATTAAAGCTATAAATTTGTTATCTGTCCCTTTGTTTCCTGATAACAGTATCCACCTTCTATTTGACACACTATACTCTATGCTGCTACCGGCACACAAAAGCTTGTTGAATGCATTCACTTCTACTGTACCTGTGTTGCTTAGCTCTGCTACTTTTTCCACATTTTGCCCAAGACATTTTTATGGAATTGGCCAGACTTAAGCTGCTCTTAATATCCAGAGAAAAATATTAGAATTACTGAAGTCTGCAATAAATTTCTGAACTGCTTTTGTTACTAAAAAAGCACTCTTTCTTCACTTGATTTATTACCACAAAAATCCAATGAAATCTCTAGGTATTCTTTAGATCAGACATATGCAATTTGTTATAAAAAGTCTACTTATCACACTTTTGCACCACATATTGTTGATGTAAGTGTAAAATCAACTCAACCATGTTATTACTGCTTGTATATAGCCCACAATCTCACAATGATCACACTAGTAGGTGGCTGAATTTTAGCTCTGGAAAGTGACAAAGCTGTTTATTAAAAACTAAACTTAATGTTCCCTTGGATATGACTGACAGAAAAACATAGCTACATAGCTACTCAACAGTACAAAACAGACCCTGATAGAAGGTCGTTATTTCTCTGCTCTGTTATTTTCAGAATGGAGGAAACATTACTAATGATGCAACAGCCTACGTTCTACTGCAAAAGAAACAATAACTAATGAGACATTATTAATTGGTTGCAATGGTTACGCTCACTGGTGCTCCAATGGCTACCTTTGAAGCAGTTAATATACTTCCTGTATATATATATATATATATATGTATATATACTTTTTTTTAGGAGACTGAAGCAATGCATTTTGATTAGATGATAAATGCTATTATAGCAGTGGCAGATTACGGAGGAACAGAAAGCTGAGGATGACATCTTAATTCTTCTGCAGCTATGTTTACGTCTGCTCTTGGCACACAGAAGCCCACCTCTCATTCACCTTTCTCTCAACCTGCTTATTTACTTGTTCTAGCACAGTAGGTTTTGTTGCTCTCCATGTATATATTCTGCCTTGACCGACCACAAGTATTTATTCCATTTTTTTTGTCTTTCTCTACTCTGCTATATTGATTGATCTCTTAAAAGAGCAGAGCGCTACCGTAATTCTTATGAGTTTCAGTACAGATGGACAAACAGGTTCAGATTAGTCACCATGGTAGCTGTATTTAAATATTATCTCTTTTTATTTTAAGGCTATAGACATTGTTTCCAAAAGCATCCTTACATATTAGTTGAGATACTGTATCTGAATTGGTGGTGTACAAGATAGGTGAAAAGTAAAGGGATGACCATGCTTGAAGGGTAGGGGCTATTGGTCTGTACTATACTGGGTAACTCACTGGAAATGGAGCTCTTCGGGCGTCTACTGGAGGATGTACCACCTCATAGCTTCATTAAGAAAAATGTCAGCCGGCACAGAATAGCCCTCTGTTGAGTTTGCAGATGCCAAACTGGTTGGTTTAGACTTGTCTGAGAATAGGGCTGCAACACAGAGGGACCTCAGCAAGTTACACGAATGGGCTGGCAGATCTTTGGAAAATTTGATGAAGACAAATGCAAAGTTCTGCACATACAACAGACCGCAGTACCAGATGAGGACTGACTGGCTGTGGAGCGGATTAGATGAAACGGACCTGAAGGACCAGGCAGCAACTGAGCTAAACATGTGACCACAGGGACACTGCAGTGAGGAGTGCTACCCTGGGCTAAATCAGCAAAGGGATAGCCACTGAATGGAGGTGATTCTTCCCATTAATTAGACACTGCAAGAAATGGTCAGTCTGTACTGGGGCCTTTATTAGAAGAAAGATGCTGATAAACTGGAGCAAGGTCAGCAAAGAGTTTCTAAGATTACAGGAAGATGAAGAATAACCTACATGTGAGACAAGCTGAGGGAACACGGCTTGGAGAAGAGACTGCTTCAGGGGGACCCACCAGCACCCATCTAACACTTATTGAGATGATGTAGCCTTCCTCTTCACTGAGGTGAATGGTGGGAACAAAAGAGAAGACATAGTAGGAAGACAAGTTCCCAAGGGTGCTGTCATCAGAAACCCGCTCTGAATTCAGAATTGCTCCTGCTTTGAGTGGGAAGCTGGACAAGCTGATCTCCTAAGATCTACTCCAGGCTGAATTACTCTGTGGCAAGCACTGCGCTAATCAGCAGTCCTAAGTTTTACCAAGTTAAAAATAAGGAAAACAACTTACCAACCAAAACTACAAGCCTGTATTTGTCATTAGGTTGTCGTCTATATTTTGCAACTTCTTCATATGTTGGGATATCTGCTGTATCGTACTGATCACTCTTCTTGCACTCATACATAGATTTGTTTGTTTTTTTATCTTTTCTGCTAAGGCGAAAGCTTCTTCTAAAACCAGCTGCAATAAGAACAGGATTTTTTCAAAATAAGAAAGCAAGTCTATCCAAAGCTGTAAACAGTCTCTTCCAAACACTCGAGGACCGGTGCATGAAATAAAAACATACTGCATGTTAAATAAGCCATGGCACTAGAATGATTTTTTGCCGCAGTTTTAAACTGTATCAGTTGCCTACTTAAACTGAAGAATTAGGATTACCAATTAGATCGTGACATTCGTAACAAGTTGTAAAAATAATTACAGTAAATTGTTAACATATTTAGATAATTTGAGTGTCTTACACATTAGTATGCATACACAAGGAAAACATTCATGCAGTACAGACTCTCATACCACACAATACATTTCTGTTAAATCATCATGGCATACAGACACATCAAATACAACACAAGAACACATCTGGTGGTTGAAAGGATTAATGAAAATTAATTCCTTGAATAACTTTTTGTGCTTGAGTCCATGCTGACACCATAAAAAAAGCGCACAGAACCTTTCCTGAAGATGTTTAAGATTAAAACCAAACACTGTTAGTTAAATGCCAAAACACCATGAAACATGTTAGACAATACAGTTGCCGTATGACGGATATGTTAGCATTAAACTGAAAGTTAATATTCCTATTAAACTTGCATTTACAATTTCCAATTGCGTCAACAACGTTACATCTCCAGCATCTATCTGCAAGACTGGGTATTTCAAATAATCACAAAGGAGATCACAGGCGTATTCAAACAGAGCAGTATAAAAAAAGCTTCTAACACTGTATTTTAAAAACTAATTTGACTCATTTGTTAATGGTTACCTTACAGTTCTTCAGTAAATCCTTTACATTAATTTTACCAGTATCTCTATTGCACTACTTTTGTTCTAGCAGGATTGCAAAACTGATTCCATTAATTGGGAACAGGAAAGTAAAACTCAAATTCTAAACACACTTTAAAATTATTGAAAAAATCCTGACACCATTTTCCCCCCAGGAATATTCTGTAGGACAGTAAACATACGTAAACTTTTGGTGACCCCCAATTTTTCAGCAATATATTTTCATAAACTTGTAAAAACCCGTATGTTTAGGTGTTTGAGAAGTAGTCATATTACCATTTCATCTTCAAAGGCAGTATCTGGCAAATTCAACACTCACTTCTGCAAATACTTAAAAGCAAAATCTTATAGAGCTTAGTTACAGGCTTAGCATGTTCTGCACAGTTCCATTTAGCATAAATCTTTGCACAATCTGGATCAAAAATAATGTTAACCAACTAATTTTGCTGCTGTAAATCTCTGTATCGATAGGAATTCACAATACATGCATACATGCACATAAAAGTTCAAAATATGAATAAGTAAAATAAAAACCGATGAAGCAGAGCAAACATCTACAGAACAGGACACTGGTATTTTTAAGAGTGTTGGGCTGAGAGCTGGGCTGAGATAGAAGAGTGACAAAAATATGAGACAGGAACACATACCAAAATATACTGAAATATGCTATTTTCTTATGCAAATAAACAACATTAACACTGAAGTGACTGCAGTGAGAAAAGTTTTGTCAAAATATTGATAACTGTAAACACATCCAAGAGAAAGCCCAGGAGATCTTGTCCAGTATAGAGTGAAAATCCATTAGGATGCAAAGATGCTGTAGGAACCTTCTTTAGCAGAGAGGCTGGACTGATGATCTCCAGAGGTCCCTTCCAACCACTACAATTCTCATTCTCTGGTGCTACGTCACCTCATCTAACTGCATACACAACTGTATAAAGAAAGGTTAAAAGTAACAGCAGCTACAAAAGGGGGCTGTAAATTTCATAGAAGGCTCCAGATCAAAAAACTGCTCTAAAAACAAGTTGAAAATTGTTTTGAAAATTGTACTGTATAAGCATCTAGAGAAAAAAATGGTAAGCCTTTACCGTTTCCTTCTAAACAGTTGACAGAATAAAGAGCTTTGTCACAGCATACAGCACCTGCATATCTACAAAGGTTCCGTTCTGTGCTACAGGGCCAGCATCTCCCCACTCCACTGTTGAGAATGAGGGTAGGCAACAACTGAAGCCAACCAATCTCCTCTGTACCACTTTGGTTTTAGGCTTACAAACACCAAGAGTTCCATGCCTCTGAGCAGCTGTCTCACAGCAGCACATTTACCAACAGCTCCTTAACTTCAGCTTAAATACCTGGAATTTTTTAGAAAAAGCTTGCTTTAAGATACTTTCAAAACTAAGGAAAACGTACAGTGCAGAGACAAGAGATCAGACTGTTTTCAATACATCCCCCATTTTTATGGTACTGCTACTGCATTCCTTGAAACATGTCTCTCCCCCTCTCAAATGTGTGATTATATATCCTCATGTTTGTGGCTTAACTGTACTGTGACCTTCAGAAGCTGTTTTACAAAGAACTGTTAATTAACTTTGCATTTATAATATATGTTGGGCAGCTACGACTGCGTGAAAAGATTAAGCTGAACTTAAACTACATTATACTCACAAGGCAGGAGAACATTCATGAGCAAGCAAAAAAGCACTCTCATAGTGTTTGCATATTTCTCAATTTAGGAAAGATGAAAATCAAACTTAATAAATTTAAATTAATTATAGAGCATTATTAAAAATATAGAGAAAATCACTGTGGAAAAACAAAAGGAAGATTGATTTCCAATAGAAAAATAAAGTTTCTATAAAATGATTAAGCTTGAAAGTAAACGTCTAAAATAGAACAGAGGGAAAAAGAATTACTTGCCTGAGATATTTGATCAAATAAAACTCAGTGAACACAAAAGGAGTTGCGACCTATACTGTCTGCAGAATATGGATATCAGCAAAAATTAATCTCAGCTGCCAAGAATGCAGACTATAAAATAAAAGGGGAAAACTTTGTGACTAGCATTGTGAGCATTAGGAAGCTTGCACCAGTCCACTGGTTTCAGCTACATGACTAGAAGCTACCGAACGTACTAACCCACAAACTGCCCCTGGAATGTAACAAGTTTGGTGAAATAGCTGCTGGGAAGGAAATAAGAACAAACGCTCTCCAGCTTCAAATGCCTCCAAACCGAATGGCACTCCTCAACATGAAACAAAAATCATCAGCTGTTACTAACACTTAGATAAGGGCCAACAACAACCCAAGAGGAATTACTTATCTCTATAAGATTAGGAATGTAAACACACAAACAAACAAACAAGTCTAGAATAACAGCCCAATTTGTCTTCTAATCACTGGCGATGTACATCCTTACATCTGCACAGAGAAAGCCGCCTGGGCTTCATGCAGAAATCCAGACTGAAAACTGGCAGCGCGCAAACATACCCAGTCCTAAAACACTCCTAAAGGACAACAATGTAAAATGTCGCATTTCTTTAGATTTAATAATAAAATCCTAAAGAAGGGAACAAAAATTGTGACTATGTTGAGTAAATTTGGATTTAAATATGTGTACGAAGCTAGAAAGCTGATTTCACAAAGAGAAACTGCGCTAAAAGGAAGTACTATAATTTACATTCACGTGTGCTACATTCACCAGGAAGGCTCCAGAACGCTGCAAGGCACGGACACGTGCTGCGTTCATTTTCATTCAGTAAAACAAGGATTAAAATTTGCATTAACTTTGTGCATTCTTCATGGAATTTAGTCTAAATTTACACAACTTGTAGTGAACAAATGGTGCTTATCTGTAAATGAATTTACAAGTACTTTTGGTATTCACATGCATGTTACTGACAAAAGTAATTGTGGCACCCTGGTCATTACCGAGGTGCAATTTTTTATGAGATATTTCTGGATATTCTTTTTCCCCTTCAAAATATTGTCATTTTTTTATACCTACTCGTATACTGAGTATTTCTATTGTTACACAGCAACTGCACAAACACAGAGCAGACGTCTTACTCTGCCTGCTTCTGGACTGATTCCCAGCTTGCACATTTAGGCAGGGTTAATAAAAATTTAGATTATGTCTGGATTTTTAAGACAAAGTTGAGACTAGTAAACAGATGATATTCATCTAATACCTACTATATGTTGATAAAGGTTCAGGCAATGTAACTGCATTTTAAGCTTGGCACAGACATGGTCCTAACGTTCTCCCCAACAGTTCCTCAGGAAATTACAGCAGAAACATCTGATACTACACTGTAACTGAAGTATTAGAATTCAGTGAAAAATTGTGAAATTTATTTGAGTCACTTTAGAGGTGAGAGTTCAAATTAATAGTCTGATAACCCTGAACATAACAGATCTGATAACCCTGAAGATAACGCCGTCTGAAAGATGACTCTTCTATCACTCTTCGTGACCACCTGATGTGTGTCTGAAGTACATATCCTTTTAGAGAAGTCTGGATATTCAGAGAGCATCCTGGTTCACAGATCGGAATGTGAACGCATACAGAGCTCGAAACCCACAAGCCATAGCACTGACTTAAAAATCAAGGACAAAAAATAGAATTGTTGTGGTTTGTTTGGTGTGGTTACGCAATACCAAAAGCAGCACGAAGTACAACTTACTATTTTGATTTTCGGAAGCTGTCAGTGCATCTATACTTTGAAAACTGTTTCTAAAATTTAGATGTGCAAAAAATTCACCACACTTAGCTGATAGTAACTGTTCATATGTGTGACTATAATCAGCCCTAAATATGAGGTAATACAGCTCCGCTCCTTCATCAGTGGTGAAGGGAATTTGGACTGCCTTGTTCTTGTGACAGGCTAGAGCACACTGACAGGCTGTTAACTCGGCTGTCACAAAACCATCCCAACCTTGTTGGTGTGACTCAAGTCCTTCAGCGACTGTGTTTAGGCTTTCTTTTCAGACTTTACATCACAATACTGAAAGCCTAGAAATTTAGTTACTTAGTAAGCCAGGAGAGCCATTAAATGCTTGCCATCTTTCAAGAATGCTCAGGATAAGCTCCAAAAAACAGTACTACAAAACATGGATGGACATCCAGAATACACTGTTTTCAAAACCACTGTGAGGAATTCACTGTGAGGAAGCCTGAT